CCTAAACCCTCAACCCTAAACCAAGATTGCAGGCTTTGTGGTCAAGGGACTGGGGAGGTTTAAGTTCAAGGCTGCAGGGTTCCGGGATTTAGGGTGCAGGAATTCAGTATGTGGGGCCAATGTATATGTAAATTATCTGGGCGTAGCAGTCCCGAGAACATTTTGATTTCTGGGACCGAAGCACTTGCAAATGATCCCATCCCCAACAGTCCACAATGAAATTGGCTAGAAAAAGCAGGCTACCCATAGGCTCCATAGTAGTTNNAGTTCCTTTTTGTGGCTTATATTTTAGGATCCTATTCGGTAACCCCAAAAAGGAACTGCTATGGGGCCGATGGGTAAACTAAACTTTGCACCATAAGGATTCTGGCTCCTACAGCAAACTGCTTGAGCTCCTACTGAGAACCCTGGGCAAAAGTGCACCCCACCCCCTCACGGAATCTCAAAAAACACTGCAAGCACCATTGGAACCCCAGATCCAGAAAAAAAAAGCCCTAAACCCTCAAACACCTACAAACCCCTACACCCGAAACCCCCCAATCCTAAAACACCTACAGTGACAATCTAAACTCACACTCTGCGCGGGCTAGGCTCCTGTTTATGGGAACGGTTTAGGGCTGAAGGCTTAAAATAGGAGCCTTAATCATTAGAAGAGGGTTTTGAGGTCCATTCTACTATAAGTTATAAGTGTAATAAGGAACCTCTATAGTATGGGTAATTATTCAGGCCCCTAAAGGGTTCCTAAATCTTGGTTCCTAAGCTCCCTATACGTCTGGCTGATTATGGGGGCCTCAACTAGCTGCTGTAGATTAGGGCTTTTTTTGGTATTAAGGAACCTAAAGATAGAGTAGTTCTAAACATTCAAGCTTCTTTCTATACTTTAGTCGTTTAAACGTCATAAGGTCATGTCATGCACACCTCTGTAAGGGCATATGTTATCACAGACTCCCACTCGGCTGCCGAAAAGAACCCACTCCCTGAGCCCTAAAGCCTAAGCCCTAAACTCTCTCGGACGCATGCCAAGAAGTCTCGCGTCACTGGTGAACTGGCGGATGGAAGCTCTCTGCGATCCGGTTGAAAAAGTCCCCGTTTGGGGTTTCGGGTTTGGGGGTTTCGAAGGCTAAAGGCGGCTAAAGTTAAGTGTTAGAAGTTTACGATCTCAGAGGCTTGCGGGCATTAGAGCTTAGGTCGTAACTCTCTAAATGCGACACGCATACGGGAAGACTCCGGCCGAAGAAAGCTTCGTCCAATTCCGTGCACATGGAGGAGTACATGTCAAGCTCTACCTATAGTCTCTGTTGTGGCTTGCCAACGTTTATTGTTACGATCCTATACTACAAATACTGGCTAACCCAGAAAAGGAACTAGAAGGGAGAATATAGATAGGGTCTTTAATAATTAGAATAGGGCTTGAATAGGGTTTGGGGGTAGAATTATAATACAAGGAACCCCCAAAAAATAGAATTGGTACTTATTATCTAGGCCCCTACTTATATATTAGGGTCCCCAGGGCTTCAGGATTCTTTAGGGTTTAGGGTTTAGGGTTGAGTCTGAAATTTCCTGATTCATTTGGGGATTTCCGACAATAGGGGACCCTAATATAGTACCCTGAATAATAGGATCCCTATTATAAGGACCCCAAAATAAGGTACCCCTAATTTTCTGAAACTCCCATTGTTGCAGGCCTCCGGTGCACTTCGGTGCAACAGCAAATTCACGTCACAAGCTGGAAGAGCGCTACGTGGTGCTCGGCTCAAAGGCGTATTACGGCTCGCGGTTTAAGGTTTGGGGCTTTAGGGACTGGGCTTTGGGTTTTTGTAAGTACGTCTACCTATGTCTCTATCTGGCGCGCAGTTCACTGGTATCAATAACTATAGAAATGGCTGCTGCATGCCTGCACGTATGTTGTGTCTGATGCATGTACTTAAAGTCGACTTGAAGATCACGACATTCCATACCGGAACCTAAACCGTAAACCCTAAACCCTAAACCCTAGACCCTAGACCCTAAACCCTAAACCCTAGACCCTAAACCCTAAACCCGAAACCCTAGACCCTCGGGGCTCGTCTTTTATGTTTTCAGTGTCCGATGCCCAGGCCTACACCCTAATTGGGGTTCACGCTAGGTTTTAGGGATGCTTTTGGGTTGTATAGGGGCCTGTACTATGGTTTACAGAACTGTGAGGGGGTTTGTAATGGTTTATTAAGGTCCTACGCGAGTGTTACACGGTTTCACCTATGGCGTGACAGGCGTGGCGCAGCTTCCGCCTGGACAATTCCCCAAAGGGTCCTAGGTACTGTTCCGGGGGGGATACTTTCCCAAACCATGAAAAAGGATTCCTATTACAGAAACCCTACCTTCTACTATAAACCCTAAACCCTAAATCCTAAACCCTAAACCCTAAACCCTAAACCCTAAATCCTAAACCCTAAACCCTAAACCCTAAACCCTATACTACAAAAGGTACTTTGGACCCTTTGGGTTCTGCATTTTAGCCACAGGTCAGGGCCACTGCTCTAATCCCGCAACTTCGGCAGCTGCCAGCTTGAAGACTCCGCTTCGCTGAGGCTTATAAAACTTGGTTGAGGGTTTAAGGTTTAGGGTTTAGGGTTTAGGAGGGTTTAGGGTTTAGGGTTCTTGGTTGTGGTTACTACAGAATAGGGTTGTACAAAGGCTTCGTTCGAGCTTTATAAGGTCTCATAAGAGGCATGCAATGTAGAGTTATATACGCGATGATACAGAAGCATGAATAAGTAGAAGAGTTGCCTCTTTGTTTTTGTTGGGGGGGGGGCATGTTACGCTGTACTTATAACACGAGGCCCTGAGGAATACCGGTACCAACACTTTCTGCCCCATCTGCGACCCTATGAAACCTTCCGGTCCAAGAGCTACCCTAAATGCTAAATCCGAAACCCCTAAAGCCCCACTGCGGTTTAGGGTTTAGGGTTTAGGGGGGCCCCCACCCTAAACCCTAAACCCTAAACCCTAAACCCTAAACCCTAAACCCTAAACCCTAAACCCTAACCTACGAGGAAGTATCCAAAGGACCCATGCCCGATCCACCAGAGCCGCAAAGCCTCGAGCATCCTCTGTGCTAGAGCCTGAACCGCACCGGTCCGCCCTGTACCAACGACTTAAGGGCCGAGGGTTTAGGGTTTAGGGTTTAGGGCCGAGGGTTTAGGGTTCAGCATGGCTTCACAAAGAACAATGATGGGTGCTGAAGCTATGTTCTCAGTGTCAGTCCAACCATTTTATGATCCTTAAACTCTCAGCCACAAACCCCAGACCCCAAACCCTGAACACTCTCTATCATATGATACTTAAACCTTATATGAGTTCGTGGATTATGTTGTTGTCGGTGGCTTTTCGGTAAGCTCAACGAAGAAATCGCCAAATTCCACGAAGACATTGCCATATGAAACCTTAGGGCCGGCTCTTCGTTGAAGATGGCAACTTTCGTCGTGGACTATGGCTCTTCTTCGCCGAAACTCGACAAACATCGCCATCTTCTTCAAAGGCCGGCCGTTGGTTGAAGTATGGCAATGTCTTCGTTTAGGGTTTTAGGGGTTTAGGGTTTAGGGTGTAGGGTGTAGGGTTTTAGGGTTTAGGGTTTTAGAGTTTGGGGTTTAGAGTTGTAGGGTTCGGGGTTTAGGGTTTAGGGTGTAGGGGTCTAGGGTTCAGGGTTTCGGACCTTTTCCTGGCCGAAGGCCGGCCTTCGTTGAATAAAGCAATTTCTTCCTGGAATATGGCATTTGTTGCAATTTCTTCGTGGAGTATGGCCTTTTTCCGTCAATTGAGGACAAAGGCTTTGAGGTTCAGCCTTAAGGTTTAGCGCTTTGGGTTTCAGCCTTAAGGTTTAACAAAAGTATAATGGTTTCCTGATGGCCGTAATGATATGTGAATCTTGGCGGGGGATGATTTCCGGAGTTGAGCTCGACTAGAAACTGCTCGATCTGGAGTTGCTGAACCCTAACCCCTAAACCCTAAAACTGAACCCGGCACCGGTAAAACACAAACTCTAAACTCCATCTAACCCCTGTTCACCGACCTGTTCCCGCACAACCGAAACCCCCCCAAACCCTGCGCCCAAAACCCTAAGCCCTCAATGCCTAAACCCTATAGCATACCCCATCTTAAGCCAGCAGCCGCTCTTTTAGCAATTTAAACTCTAAGGTTGCACCCATGTTATGGGCCCTTAACCCTTGGATCCTTACCCACCTACTATATACCCGGTATCTACCATTAAAAGTTCCTAGAAATGCCTAAGGGTCCATGTTAGGGACCCGTACGTCTAACCTTAGATAAACCCTTAACCCAAAACCCAAAACCCTAAAACCTAAACCCTAAAACCTAAACCCTAACACCTAAACCCTAAACCCTAAACTCTAAACCCTAAACCCTAAGCCCTAGCCAGCAGCCGCTCTTTTCGCCAATTAGGAGCTAAGATCTGGCAGCTCTTCATCTTCTCCGAAGCCGCTGTCGGAGAAGTCGCTCCCTGCAGCGTGGCGGCATGGACCCCAAAACCCGGTTTCGGGTTTTTGGGGTTTAGGGTTTATAGGGTTTAGGGTTTATAGGGTTTAGGGTTTATATAGGGTTTATAGGGTTTAGGGTTTAGGGTTTAGGGCCCAAAACCCCTAAACCGTACATCATTAGGGTATTGAAAACCCAAAAACTTTGGACATAGACCCTAAAACCCCCTAAACCCTAAACCGTACATCATTAGGGTTTTGAAAACCCGAAAACTTTAGCCCCAAGGGTCCATGTACCCAAATAGTACATACTTTGGCCTTAATGTAGTCCCTATATAGGTACTTTGGGGCCAATGTATATACTATTTAGGTACATGGACCCTTAGGGTTAGGGTTTT